CACGGCCGACAGCAGAGCACGCACGACGGGCGACAGCACGAGACTGCCGACACCGCCGCCCGACAGGATCAGACCGATGGCCGTGGCGCGATGGCGGTTAAAGTACTCGGGCGCGGGGCCGAGCAGCGGGAAGTAGAGCATGGAACTGCCGAGGCCGTAGAGCAGGCCCTGTGTGAGCAGCAGGTGCCAGACCTGGGTGGCAAAGCTGGCCAGCAGGAACCCCAGGCCCATGAGGATGACGCCACCGAGGGTAATGCTGCGCGGCGACGCGGTGAGGGCGCGAAGCACTTTGCTTTGGATGCGGCCGCGACCGTGGCTGCGCTGGTGGCCAGGCGGCGACAAGGCGGCGTACTCCACGCGCGACAACCACGGGTTGACAAAGATGCTGCCGGCCCAGGTCAGACCCGCACCGAGCGTGCCAACAAAGGCCAGCAACGCCGTCGAGCGCTGCTGGGGCGCTGCGGCAGTCGACGACGCTAAAGGCGTGACTTTCAGCACGTTCTGGTTAGCTGACAAGTAGTACTCCTGGAAGACACCGTAGCACTGATTGTAGCCGATGGACAGGGCAATTGCTAGGAAGGCCGCAACTAAGACGGAGGCCTGCTGGCCGCGGGACACCGGTGGGAGCGCTGGTGTCGCGTGGTAGTCCTCTTCTTCAGCAACATGGTTGCCCGTATCGTTGTCGATGGCCGCCAGTGTGGCACCCGCACGTGTGCGGCGAGCGCCCAGGTTTGCCATTGGTAGGGCGTCGGTGCTGGCCATGGCGACGGAACGTGTGTGCCGCAGCTGACAATGTGCTTCGATCTGTAAAGTTGGCGCAACGTGACGCTATGAATTGCTGCCGTAACAGATGGACTGGTAAGATATAAGACAAAAGTATCGTCGAAATTGACCTCGTCGTGGCCTTTGACTATTAGCCATTCCTGCCTGCCGGGTCTAGTCGGGTCAGGGACTTTTGTCATGATTTTTAAACTCGGTCTTTTAGTGAGGGCACGTAAGGATCGTCACAGACAGCGTCGGACGTAAGACGGGTGTCTTCGGGGAGGGCATTGCGGGGATTGCGATTCCGGAGACGCTTCCTGAACGTAGTCTGGGGTAGTGTATGTCGTGCCTCCATTACCATTACACTCCACGTGATATAGTTTTGTTCCACGGATTTCATCTCGGCCATGTTCTGTCCTCACAATGGTGTTGTCTGTCAAAGCCAATTATGCACATTTAAAGGTGCAAATGACGGAAACATGCCGAGACTAGCCTACATCGAGTAAGTAGTAGAATAGTCTGTAATATGAACGTTATCCATGTTCGTTGAATCTCCACTGCCATACAGGTTGCGCACAGATCGTTGGATGTATCACGCGACATGGCCGGCCTCAAGATATATCAAGTGCCCGCCGTTAGCGACGTTCACGGACGGCACCCGGATACAATTGCTGGTCAATTATCTGACCCGGGTTTGTCACAGGCGACATGGCTCCTTTCCTTGTTGTCGAAGCGCTCGGTTGCTTTCACGAACACTTGACGTCTCAAGACTCCGGCAGCAATCGCCACCGTCAACATGGGCAATTCTTGGCGCCAAGAGGAGGCCCTTTCTTGGGAGTGAAGCAGCGTAGCGCGCGCTGGTTCAACGTGAAATACAACATATTCTGGGAACAAATTGGGCCAGACCCGTCCGCACTGAGGGATAAGGCAAGTGCTCCGCCACCCCGCGCATCCTTGATCGCCATTGATTGCCGTGGGCATGCTTGGCAGGGAAACCGGAGGGCAGCCGCCCGGGAGTTACGGAACGGTGAAACTGGCCGCACCACTGGTTGACTCGAGAAGGCGACGCAAGCACTCAGGGGACAAGGAACTTGCCGTCAAGATGCCAAATACCCAAGCAGCCAAGCTCCTCGGGTCCTAAGGTAAAGGGATGCAGTGATTGGCATTGGGCGCATTGGGGCTGAAACAGGGTTGGGGTCGGGCGGGTCGATGGATAAAAGAGGAAACAGAAGACGGGGGTGAGATGGGCCAGATAAGATGTGAGAAGATACGGAGGACAAAATACTTGTCAGTTTATTAGACACTAGATGCGGATTGCAGGTAAGATACAACATACATGTACAGCCGATCAGGGCGAGCATTTGGGGCTACATCGATCTGGTCTGAACAAAGGGCCATGGGCAAATTGCAACGTTTGGTCTGGGACGGCTGTCCTTTGCTGATGCGTTTTGATGGGACAGGATTCGTATTCGTACATGTAACAGTCACTATCCGAGGGAAGGGTAAGATATTGTCAGATGTCCAGATACGGTCTCCTGACAAAAACGGTGGAGAGGACGGCGAGGCGCTCAGAGAAAAGGGTCGGCGCGATTTAGTGTCAGGTGCGATTCAGCGACACACAAGACGTAGCAGAGCTCGCTGCGCGATGGCGTTGCTTGGCCGAGAGGTGAGCATATGCAGCTGTCGGTGTAGTCAGGGGCATGCATTGTTGGCTCTGGATGCAGTGCAGGTTCCGAAATCTGTTGGCTGTTGTTGGCCGACTGGTCTGTGGATAATTGGCGCTCTGAGGCGCTGTAGACGCTGGCAGGCGCTGGAGACTTGCGTGGCTGTGAGGCCGCGCCAGCAACGACTAAGCCGTCGTCAGCACAAAGGCAGCGGTAGCAAACAGGGTGTGTTGCCCATACCGATGGCTATCGATTGGCTGTTAAATTGGATGTGGGCTGGATACGACTGCGAATTTGGGGCATCATGGCTTCGGCGGTGAAATGAATCGAAAATGATTGCCCCAAAGTAATTTGAAGTATTCGTACATGCTGTCGTATGCTTCCTTCTGCGTAGTGAGATTGCCATCGCCAGTCCTTCCTGCCTGTCTTTTCGTCAAGAATTATTTGCTCTTTCCACCCTCCCTGCGTTCCTGAATTGCATACTTCGTAGGGAAAGAAGTTGGGAGGCCCCTTCCACTCATGGTTTCCAGACGACTCTTCGTGTCCTTTCGTTGTTTGGCCATGCCACTTCCCCTGATTTTAGTTTGCCTAGTCGTGTTAGCGCTGTTCGCCCCTTCCCTCGGTGTCGACTCCCCCTTTTTAGTGGGCGCTTTTGTGGCCGTTTGCTCTTTCTTTTTTTGGAACAGGTACGTAGTGTGCCAGGCCTGGACCCTGGGCAGGCCACACTTGCCGGTGGATGTTCACCAAGGACGGCCGTTCCAGAAGGCACGATCCACAGCTCTAGCACGTTTTGCGGTGGAACTATCGTAGCTTCCGCTTTTGAGGGAGGGGAGCACACAAAAACTTGAACGCAAGTAAGAAACTGTGGTAATGGCAGGAGCGAACAAGCAGGTCGTAGTCTCTAGAGACGATTCCTGCGTTCCGTTCGTATGTGCGTCAATGGGACACTGCCAGCGATCAATTTTGCCTCCCTTTGCCTTTTTGCCTTTTTGCTTTATTGCCTCCTTCAGATCACTTTCCGACGCCACCACTGCCGTGTTCCATATCACACACAAACACCAATACGCAACTGTCCCAATGCAAATGCACTTGTTCCTCAGAGCATTTCCCAGGCCATTCCTTTGCCTGGCCGGTGTTACCCCGGCGCATGGTCGGTTTCCTGGGTAAGCATCGATCGCCGCAACTGGGCCAGAAGACAGGCTCGACAGGGTCGCATTGTGAGCAGACAACGCGGCGCGCGCCAGAAGCGTCCATTGGCGATCTGGCCAACGCCAAATTGCACTTTGTCGGAGCCTGCCTCCAACTTCCGTCCCCATGGAAACCCCTCGACGCATACTGCCGTCATTTCACCCACGACCAGCAAGTGCGATTGAATGCAACTTTGTCGTGCATTTGGTTTGTGACTACTTTCAGCCACCATGCAAGCACTATCCTCCCGCCGCACGCTATTCAGTACTTGCAAAACTTGAACCGCGAAATGGACGAGAAGAAAAATGGGCATGTGGGGTGCGACCCCTGCAGGGGCGATGCCACTGTGTTGGGGCCCGGCCAACGGCTGAATTGGCAATATGCAGATGAGGAGCAAAGAGAACGAGAAAAGGAAAAACAAAGAAAAGTGTTGTGGAAGCCGTTCGAGATACGTACGACATACACTCGACGCCTCTACGACCACACCATGCCTAGGACATTACCCACACCCAGTCCACTTAACACTCCAAAACGGAGCAGAGCTTGAAACAGGCCGACGACGGGGAGAAAGAGACGACAGGCCAGGAAGAAAGGCCAGGACATGACACAACAATTGAATGCAGACGAATAGCCAACCGCCAGGAACGCTCTAATCGTTAGACTCACCGTTCGACATAATTACCAGACAATCGTCTTTCATACGTCTGTTCTGGGTTTCTTTGTCTTGTCTGGTTTTATTTCGGCCGCCTCTCCCTGTTGTCTATGCCCTCTCTCCTCATCCCTCTCCTGTCTCCCCGTACCGTACCCCCTCTCCCAGTGTCCTGTTATTAATTGTCCAGTTTTCCTGTTTTGGCTTTCCCTGTTTCTGTTCTGTCGATAACATTGTTACTTGCTGTCCCAACGGTTTTTCTTGCAGATCTGACAATAATAACCCTGGCCTTCGCCCTCCCCAGCGCCCGCTCCAACTCTTCTTGTTTATCCTGGACCCCCTGGTTACCCGCCATCCTTTGTTTAGTCCATTCCCTATCTTGTCTCGATTGTCCTCATCCTATTCCTCCCAAGCTTACGACATACAACGTTGGACTTTCTTTCTTTCATTGTCCTGATCCTTCATTCTCGTCATCCCATTCTTCCAACGCTCTTTGAACGCATGTGCGCTGTTTATGTTCTCGACGCATTCGGCTCTCGACATTAGACGTTTGTATCTTGTCGTGTGCGTGCGTCAACGAGCTTGTACCGTATAATAAGCGACACCTGACGTTGACTCGCCTCACACCACACCTCCTTGCAGTCTCGACTCTGCAACACCAAACCTGCTCAAGACGAACATTCTCAGTACATTTGCACCTACAACAACAGTGTCCCAACCTCTATTTTGGCTACAAAATGAACTTCACCAAGAAGCTCGACCGTGCCGTGCAATGGGCCGGCGAAAAGATGGGCGGCGAGGCCAAGACGGCCATGTCGGACGACTTCAAGATGCTGGAGACGGAAATGAACCTCCGCTACGACGGCATGGACCGCCTACAAAAGTCCATGACCGCCTACGTCAAGTGGGTGGGCCGCCGCGGCGAGACGTTTGACGACAAGGAAAAGGGCCTGCCGATCAGCTACCTGGGCCGTACGATGACGAACCACGGCGAAGACTTTGAACACAACTCGGAGTTTGGCAACTGCCTGACCAGCCTCGGTCGGGCCAACGAGCGCCTGGCTTCGGCCCAAGAGCGCTATGTGGCCGACGCCACGGCGACGTGGCTGGAGTCACTGGAGCGGAGCCTTGCGATGATGAAGGAGTACCAGGTAAGCCACGTCCGCAAAGCAGAGGTCCCTTTGCCCTTCACTAACCCTGCGTTAGGCCGCCCGCAAGAAGCTCGAGAACCGCCGCCTGGCATATGATGCCAGCATTGGCCGCATGCAAAAGGCCAAACGGGACGATTTCCGTGTCGAAGAGGAGCTGCGCACGAACCGCGCCAAGTACGAAGAGAGCAGCGAAGATGTCATGCGCCGCATGCAAGACATCAAGGACGCCGAGGTCGACAGCATTCGCGATCTGACAGGGTTCCTGGACTGCGAACTTGACTACCACGAGCGCTGCGTGGAGGAGCTGCGTCGCGTCAAGCGTTCGTGGCCCGGAACGGCGACCGCTGCCGCTGCTGCCAACGGATCGCTGCCAAGCAACTTTGGTGGCCGTAGCCGGTCGAACACGGCACGGTCGTACAACAACGAGCGAAACCCACCCTACGGCAGCCGCGCTGGCGCTGGTGCTGCTGGCGACTCGTCGTACATGGACGAAGAGCCGGAGCCGCTGCCTGTCCGCATGCCTAACCGCGCCAACACAAACACCCTTCGCTCCGCCAACGACTCGCCGCCCCAAAAGCCTGCCCGGCCAGCAGTCGCCCGGGCCAACTCGTTCCAGCCCGGTAGCAACGGCCCCGCCGCCGCCAACGGACCGCCCACGACGTTCTCGACATACAACAACAACCTCATGAGTGCTACCGCTAGCCCTGCGGCAATCACCTCGCTCCGCACCGGGCTGCGCCCCGTCGGACGGATCCAGACGACCAACGGGCACCCATCCAACGGCAACGTTTTCGCCGACGATAACGACGACACCAGTGTCGGCAGCGGCAGCGGCAGCGGCAGCCCAGAGTGGGGTGAGCGCAGCGCGTCGCCGGCGACCAGCTTTGGCAGTCTGAGCCGGAGCACGAGCAATGTGGCCATGTCCTCTGGCGGAGCGGTCCGCAAGGCGCCGCCTCCGCCGCCGCCCAACCGCAACAAGAAGCCCCCACCGCCGGTCCCAGCGCCACGACGGGAGACTAACTACTAGGCGTTCTGTGCGCCTCTGTTCTTTGGTTGTTTTGTTGCATTTCTTTTGTTCGGTTTGTTCTTGGGTATTCCTCTGCCAAGGCCACTTGGGATTTAGATTGTCTTCTGTCACCATGCTGGATGCAAGGTCGACTTGTGTTCTACTTACGACTCGTTGCAGCCGTGACGGCTTTGCCCCTATTCTTTCTTCTGCTGTGTATTACGGACTTTCTTTTTGTTTTCCTTACGGCGTTTCTACCTTGGGGGCATATATGGCATTGGATCCGCGGCCGTCGTCGCTCTGGTTAGCTCTTATTAGTATATGTGTCTGGATATACATAGCATCATTATCGTTACTCAATTTTGGGAGAATGTTTCTGTTTTGTCCTTTACAAAGAATGTTATTGTCGTGACAGCCAAAAGTTGCGTTTCAGCTGCATGCATCACCAAGTCGCCACGGGTCACGTGCGCTTTAGCCAGAACTGGCCGCGCAACCGCCTGGCGATTGCCCACTAAAACCCGCTAGCCATGCTGTGGTAGAAGCATCGGGAATGTGCCTGGAACACATGCGCCGCCTGCTGACTGATTTCGCAATTGGGCGGCAAATCCGACACATCGAGCTCTGCGCAGGTTTCCAAGCTTGGAGATCCGCCTCTTCCAACCGCAAGGGCGCACTCTCACTTTATGTTGTCTTCATTATTTGTTCTGTACACCTCGACTGTCCTTGTAACCACGCATTTCTTATTTATTTTGTCCCCCCGCTATTTTGGCCGCGACTCGCTCGATATTTTCATGTTCATTTTCCTTTTTCATTTCCTTTAGGAGATAAGATCAACGCCATTGCCTGAGGACAGGCAACAGACAGTCGCAGCACGGTTTCTGAGGTTTGTTTGACGGAATGGAAGACGACGACGACGACCAGCAGCTGCAGCTTGAGGTGGAGCAGCAAAGCCCACAGCTCAAGATTCGCTACGAAGAGGTGTTCACACTCTCGTCCCCTGGCCAGACCAGCTCGTCACCATCACCGCCACCGACAGATGCGTTTTCAAGGGTTACAGACAGCTCGACTGTGGGGCGCCCACGCACGCGCCCTCAAGGCGACAAGATCCTGCTGCCACCGTCGGCGCTCGAGGGACTGTTGAGCGCAGCCGCCCGTGCACGACAGCAGGCCAACAACGCGGCCAGCAGCAGCAACGGCAGCCGTTACGGCGGGCGCTCCGCGTTTGGCTCGCTCGATGACTTTCACAGCTTCGGCTACAGTCGTGGAGGAGGCGCCAGCGGCGGTGACGGCTATGACCTGCCGCAGCCATTGACGTTCCGGCTGGTGAGCGCAAGCACAGGCAAGTCCGTCTACGCAGGGATCCGCGAGTTCTCGGCGCGCGAGGGCGAGGTTGTGTTGAGCGACTACCTGACGCGCGCCCTGGGCCTCGGCCTCGACGAGAGCAAAAGCAGCGACGCCACGGACACCACGGACCGGCTGGTGGTGACCTTTTACCCACTCCCCAAGGGCACGTTTGTGCACCTGCGGCCGCTGGCGGCGGGGTACAACCCGGCCGACTGGCGCCCGCTCCTCGAACGGCAGCTGCGCGAGGGCTACACGACGCTGACGCGCGGGGCAGAGTTTACGGTACGCAACGGCCACGGCACTGCGGGCGAGTTCCGGTTCCGGGTGGACGGCTTCAAGCCAGCGGGCGACGGCATCTGTGTTGTGGACACAGATTTGGAGGTGGACATTGAGGCACTGGATGAGGAGCAGGCGCGCGAGACGCTGCGACAGATCCAGGGCGACGCCGTGCCGTTGGGCGGGGGCAACGGTGCACCACAAGGATCGGACGAGAGTGGCAGCGCTACAAGCCCGGGCGGCGCAATCGACATCTGGAAGCCAGTCTCGGGCCAGGTGCGCGCCGGCGAGTATGTAGACTATGAGCTGCCATCATGGGACCGGTCACGGCCTTTGGCGATTGTTCTCTCTGGTTTCGACGAGGAGGAGGAGGACAAGGGCTACGCTGTCGACCTGCTTGTCAGCCCGTATTCGTCACGGCACCGCGCACGCCCAAGAGAAACGGAGCACGTGTGGGCGAATTTCGGCGTCGCTGACAGTTCGACGGACAATGCGAAGACGATTGTGCTGCAGGCAGCCCACGACGAGCTCGAAGCGGCTGAGGCGCTGTGGATCTCTGTGCACGGCTGGAAGGATCCAGACAACACGACACCATCTGCCAAGGCACACAGTTTCACCCTCCGCGCGAAGATTGTGCTTGAAGACGACGGCGGCTCTGTCCTTGGCGGCGCGACAGAAAAGGCAGAAAAAGCCACGGACTCCGCTTCCCACGCCCCGGACGAAGAGCAGTGCAAAAACTGTGGGCAATGGGTGCCCAGCCGGTCCATGGTGCTGCACGAGAACTTTTGCCTGCGCAACAACGTCGTCTGCCCAACATGCAAGCAAGTCTTTGCCAAGCGCTCCGAGGCATGGGCGAACCACTGGCACTGCGCGCTCGATCCCAGCGGTGGCGACGACGGCGGCCACGGCACCACGGCCGCCAGCAAAACAAAGCACGACCTGATTTTCCACCCCGGGTTCCTTGGTGCCGACCGCCTGTACCACTGCCCTGCGGACACGTGTGCCGGTGTCGTGCCGCCCTTCACGTCGCTGCCGGACCTCGCACGGCACCGCACGACCAGCTGCCCGTCGAAGCTGATCCTGTGCCAGTTCTGCCAGCTCGAGGTGCCGCAGGAGGGCGACCCGACGGACCCCTCTGTCGACGCAGCCACGCAGCTCACGGGCCAGACGCCGCACGAGCGTGCCGACGGCGCCCGCACCACGGACTGCTACCTGTGCGGCGCGATTGTGCGCATGCGGGACATGGGCGCGCACCTGCAGCACCACGACCTCGACCGGCAACGGCGCGTGCCGCCGGATGTGTGCCGCGACGCGCTGTGCGGACGCACACGGTTCGGCGTGGGCCCCAAGGGCCATATCAAGGCGCCACCTGCTGCTGCTGCTGCTGCTGCTGCTGCTGCTGCTACGAGCGGCGCGCACCAGCTGGGCCTCTGCAGCACCTGCTTCGCGCCGCTGTATGTCAGCACGCACGATCCGGAGGGCAAGGCGCTGCGGCGGCGCGTGGAGCGGCGGTACCTGGCACAGCTGCTGACGGGCTGTGGGAAAGCCTGGTGTGCCAACCGGGACTGGTGCAAGACGGCGCGGGCCAACCACGGTCTGGGGCCCTTTGCCGGCCCCGACGGCACGCCGGCCGTGGGCACGGGCGCGCTTCTTCCGCTGGTCAAGCCGCTGGTGTCCGAGGCCGTGTCGGAGCCAAACAAGCCAGTGCACTTTTGCGTCGACGAGGAGACGCAGAAGCGGCGCGCAGTGGCCGAACTGCTCGCGGGCCAGGGCGGCGGGGTGTACGATCTGGCGTGGTGCGTGGCGGCGTGCGAGGCGGAGGGTGCGGATGCGACATTGGCGTGGGAGTGGCTGAACAACTGGGCGCCGCAGAAGCGGGCAGGCGAGTGAGCGGCGGTGGGAGAGGTGGTGCATATGGGCGGCCTGGCGTTGCATTAAACATGGAGCATGCAGCATTGATGCATTATTACGTTGTTTCTAGCAGATGGTGCTGCTGTTGCTGTTGTTGTAGCTGTAGAGTTGGTTGTCGGAGCTGACAGTACGGAGGCAGATCTAAGCCCTGCTGCATGTACTCTTCGCCGGTAGTGGCCGTGTCCATGTCGATGGTCGTCTCTCTGGTCACTGCTGAGGGCGGTCCTGCAGCTGTAGTGTCCTAGCCCACTGTAACGTACAGCGTGAGAGGACAAGGGTGATGACGAGCGCATCTCTCGCGTTGCCAACTCGACTTCCACGGCCAACGAATCTTGTGGCATCGCCGCCAGCGGTTATAGTACACGGCTATGTCAACGACACATAACAGCTAGGAGAAAAGCACGCCACCATTGGCCATGTCTGGCGGCCGTTGAGCGGCTACAAGCCAAACTTACATCCTGTCTTCAAATGCGCTGTCCTGCTTATCGACCTTTTTTGTGTCAGGTCGTCCTCAGCCCACGACAACCCTTAAAAATCAGGCAGCAGAGCTGGCGGGATGGCAAAGGAATGGTAAGATGATGGCCGGTGCTCACTACGCACAGCATAATAATAATACCGATCAGGAAGATCAGAAATGACTGTCAATAAAGCGTACCCAGAGGGTACTCAACTTACACTCATGAGCCAATCACAGAACACCGTTTGCTATGAGACCCACTATTTATCCCCTTCTCGTTACCTCTTTTCTTCACAATGTATGTCCTTGATCGTCACAGATTTTGCTCCTGTAGACACTCGACAGACCGGCCCTCAGTAAACAAGGCCACTGAGATGAACTTGAGGAACACACAGGTCTCAAAGAATCAATTGAATTGTAAACTAATGCGAAGTAAACTGGATCTAACCAAAGGACTAAATGCAAGTTGAAGCAAACGACGCGCACGAACAGCGAATCAAATAGTGAAAATGACACGAAACAAGGAAGCAAAAAAAAAAGGCAATGAAAAAGGATGAAATGAGGAAACAATTCTCAAGAAGGGATTCTATAAAATGTGTAGACCGAAGAAGCGAAAGTGAACGAAGTGAAGGGAAATCAAAAACAACGAGCGTCATCACTCAAAATGTCGAACAAAAAGATAAAAATGTTCCAAGCAAAATAACATAAACAATCCCCCCTTCACACCGCTCGCGCACACCTCAAAAACTCACGAAAACGACACCAGCTTGCTCTTGGCGCAGACCGCCTTGGATAGCGTCTGGATCGAGCCCGACGACAGCAGCTCCAGCACCTGCATGTTGGCCTCAAACTCCCGCGTGATAAAGTTGCGGATCTCAATCGCCACCAGCGAGTCCAGCGGATAGTGCGACAGCGACCGCGTCACGTCCATGTCCTCGGCCTCCAGCATCAGCACCGCCGCGATCTTGTCCACGAGACCCGCGCACACCGCCTCCTCCGCCTCGGCCTGCGACTGCGCCGCCTTGAGCAGTGCGTTGAACGACACCACGGCGGCGCCGCTGCCACCATTGGCGGCTGCCTCGGCCGCCGCCAACTCTTCCATGGCCAGGCGCAGATGCTTGAACTTGGCGTCCTCCGTCCAGAACGGCTGCATGGACGGCGTGATTCGCATGCCTGTGATGGTGTGGCCGTCGCACGTCTCGTCCAGGCGCCCGCTGATGGCGGCGCCCAGCAGCGCCAGCACCTCGGCCTCGCAGATGCTGTCGCTGCCTAGGTTGCGCGCCACCTCGGCCAGCTTCTCCGCGTTGTTGGCCAAGTAGCCCGAGTCCGACACCATGGTCAGGTCGAGCGAGGATGCGGGCAGCCCCGCGGCGCGACGGTGCTGCACGAGCGCGTTCAGGAAGCAGTTGGCCGCCGCGTACGCTGCCTGGCCGCGGTTGCCGACGGCGCCTGCCGCCGAGGAGATGGCGACGAAAAAGTCCAGCGGCGTGTGTTCCAGGGCACGGTGGAAGTTCCAGCCACCGCGCACCTTGCCCTCGACGACTTGGTCGTAGTCTTCAAAGGACATCTTCTCAAACAGAATGTCGCGCAGCACCATGGTGCCATGGACGATGCCACGCACGGGCGGCAGACCGGCCAAGCCACTGGACAGAAGCTCGTCCACCGATTGACGGTCCACCACGTTGCACTGCCGGACAACCACCTGTGTGCCCGACTGGTCGGCGAGCTCGTCAATGAGCGTCTTGACCTCGCCCGTCGCCGAACCTGTGCGTGACACGAGGACAATGTGCTTGGCACCCTTGCCGGCCATCCACCGAGCCATGCTGCGGCCGAGGCCACCCGTGCCGCCAACCAGGACGTACGTGGCATCCGGGCGCAGGAGGTCGGCCAGCTGGTTCTGTGCTGCTGTGGCCCGCACAATGTCGTCGGCGTGGGGCACAACAACAAGCTTGCCTGCTGCACGGTTGTTGTTGCTGGGGTGCACAGCCTTGAGCGCGCTCTCGACATCGGACACCGAGAAGGCGGTGATGGGAGCAGCGGGTCGGATTTTGCCGTACGTCAGCAGGCTTCCGACGTCTGCGATAAGACGCCGCACGATCTTGGGCCGCTCCGCAGCCAGAGCGAAAATGTCGACCGAAATGTAGCTGGCGTTGCTACCGTCTGTCTGGCCCATCTCCAGGAGGCGCCGCGACGACGAAGCACCGTGACCGGATGTATCACGCGGTGCAATGTCCAGGAACCGGCCAAACTTGTTCAGCGTGGCCCACGATTCCTTGGCGGCGTTGGAGCTGGTGAGAGCGTTGAGCACAACGTCGACGCCCTGGCCGTTGGTGGCGTGGCGCACGGCGCGGCCAAAAGACGTGTCTCGGCTGTAGAAGATATGGTCTTCGGGGATGTTGTACTCCGCGACCAAAAGAGCCTTCTTCTCGGCGCTGCTGACTGTAGCAAAGACCTCGGCACCAACCATTTGTGCCAGGCAGATGCCGGCCTGACCGATGGCACCCGATGCGGCATGCACGAGAATGGACTCGCCATCGGCCAAGCGGCCAAGCTCGACGAGACTGTGGTATGCCGTGACAAAGGCCAACGGCAGGGAAGCGCCGGCCTCAAACGACACCGAAGCCGGCAGCTTAAACGCAAGAGCCGCCGTCGTTCGAGCCACGGTGGAGAAGGAGCCGCTCGTAGGTGTCAGAGCGGCAACGCGGTCGCCAACACGAACATTGGTCACTGATGAGCCGATGGCCTTGACTGTGCCGCTGGCTTCGTAGCCCATCGCGTCTGTCTGGCCCTTGGAAGCGACAGCAATGTCATGTGCATTGACACCGATGGCCTTGACCTCGATCTCAATCTCGTCGGCCGCCAGAGCGGCGCCAGCCGTCGCGTCATCGACAAAGTGCACTGTGTCCAGAGCGCCCGAATGGCCGAGAGACAGCTTGAGCGAGCGGCCCTCGGCGCCAAAGGCTGTCGGCTCGATGATGTCGGGGTGGGTCTGGCGGTGGACATATTCATTCATAGCCTCATCGTTGATGATGCGGGGCGTGAAGAAGGAGCCACGGCGCTCCGAGAACTCCAGCTCGCTCGTGTTGGACGCGTTGGCACCAAAAGCAGCCTCGAAAACACGAACAATGGCATTGGAAGCATCGCCCTCGGAGAGCGCATTGGACGCATCCAGGTCGAGCGTCGCAAATTTCATCGCCGTCTCGGACCGGATGGCCCGGCTCAAACCCAGCACCATGTTGGCGTCCGGATTGGACGATCCGCTGTAGGCGCCACGCACCACCCACAGACAGCCTTCGGCGGTAGTGAGCAGTGTCTTGAGAGAGGCGAACTCGGTCTCTGTCAAGGTAGACAGAAGAGGACGCTGGAGCTCGGAAAGGACGACACAGATCTTGTTTGCGACATTCACATTGTGAAGCGAGCCCAGTTCTGGCATGCGGCCGGTGGCCTGTTCGAGTGCAGTCGCCAGGCCCATGGCAATCAGCGTCTGTGAGTTGCTCTCCTCGTGGACAATAACGACCTCGGCATCGGGGAACCCTGCGCCGTCACCACCGTGGCCGTTGGAGAGAGAATCCAGAATCGGCTCCCAATCCAGCTTGTAGCACAGCTCACGAGGGCCATGGGCGCCGCTGTCGAGGCCACTGGAGCCATCAATCATGGGCGCAATGGTCAAGTTCTCGAGTGTGATGAGCGGTTCAGTCGAGTCCCGATCCGCTGTGGCGTGCAGAGTCACTCTGGCCGACTTTTCTGACGCAACAGCCAGAGCTAAATCCTGCGTAGTGCAGTAGGCGCTGAGGAGGTTCCCTGTTCCATGGGACAGCTCAATGGCGCGCGCCGACACAGTCAGGCGCTCCAGGGACGATGGCAGATAAACATTGCGTACATCAGTACGGCCTGCACCAAGGATCGGCCAATACAGCTCGATGAGTGACTCTAGGAAGGACGGGTGCAGAGATGGGCTGGCCACAAAGTGGTTGGGCATCTCGGCGGCGATGTCCAGCACCGCCAGATCAGCGGAAGCAGCAGTCTCTGTAGCCCGGCAGTTCTCGATGCCTTGGAAGGTGGGGCCGAAAGCCACGCCCAAATCGCTGAGGGCATCGTACATCTTGGAGCTGTCAATGGCGGTGCTGCCGTCTCCAACAAGGAGCTTGGCAAAGCGAACAGCGGCCGCGGCCGTCTGGGCCTGGCGCACGCCATCCACGTCGTTGACCTTCTCCTCGACGGTCTTGGTGCCGATCAGACCAATGCAGTGCTCGGTCCAGCCCTTGGCGTGCGTGTATGAGCTGATACGGAACTCGTTCCACGCAGCCTCGGATGCAGACGTAGGGAGGAGAGAACCGCCATCCTGGTGCGGGCGGAGGCTAATGGTCATCTCAATGTCCTCGTCAGGGATGATCAACGGCTTCACCACAGACACATCCCGCAGCTCGTATGAGTCCACGACGCGCGATTGGCTGATGGCACGCTGTGCACTGGCCTCAAGCGCCATGACAAGGAACGCCGACAGAGGGAAGACATTAAGGGACTGGATGCGGTGGTGACGCAGCCAAGGCAGGTCATCGAGGCGGACAATGTTGCGCCATGTGGGCTCCAGGTCGCTCGAGTAGATGGCCTCCACGCCCAAAATATCACTGCGGGCACCGGCGCGGTGCTTGTGCTTGAACGTCGTGCGGGACTCTTGCCAGTACTTGTTGGAGTAGTTCCATGGGTACCGGGGAAGGTCAATGAGCAGTGCAGGTGGCTTTGCGGCCGTGCGAGACTTGGGGAAGTTGACGGCCTCGAAATCGAGGGCCAGACCACGCGTAAACAGGGTGCCAGCGAGGTCCATGGCCGTCTCCACGGCGTCCTTCTTGCGGAGGAGCGCCGATGCATAGGGGATCTTGGCCGCTGGTCCGCCGACGTGCTTGAGAATCTGCTTGATAGGACCCTGCATGCCCGAGTGGGGGCCGAGCTCAACAAGCATATTGACGCCGGTGCGGTGCTCTCCGACAGGCTCGAGCATGCTCTGCAAAGCCTCGTCGAATCGAACGGCGCAGGTCAGGTTGTCTACCCAGTACGATGCTTGGAGTTCCGATGCAGAAATGAGCTTGCCCTGTAGTGACGAGTGGAAGCGGACAGTGGTCTCGACGGGAGCCTTGAGCTTCAGCAGGCTGGCCCGGTATTCTTTCGCAACGAGGTTCATGTGGTGCGAGTGGTAGGCCGTGTCGATGACCAACCGGCGGTTGAACATGCCACGCTCTTCACAGATCTTCTCGAGCTCCGCCAGTGCCGGCTCGTCACCGGAAATCGTCAAGCTGGACGGGCTGTTGTAGCAAGCAATGCGGACTTCCTTTTCCTTGAGGTTGTCGATGATGGGCTGGAACTCCTCCTTGCTGCCACCGACGGCCATCATGCGGCCCTTGAGGTCCGGGAAGCTCTCCTTGAGGATGGGAATGAGGCGGCCCCGGTGGTATGCGACAGCCATGGCCGTCTCAAAGGTGATAATTCCTGCAGCATAAGCAGCGCCAATCTCGCCGCTCGAGTGACCGGCAACAGCCTCGGGACGGATGCCCCAGCTGGATAGGAGGTCTGTCAGGGCAAGCTGCACGGCTGTACACGACGGCTGGCTGATGTGTGCCTCGTTGACGCGAGTGGTGGTAGCATCGCGGCCGAGCTCCTCGACGAGGGACCATTCAGCGCCAAGTGCGGCGAGGCAACGGTCGGCGTGATCAATGGCACTGGTGAAGACGGGGTACTGCTCGTACAACTCGCGGCCCATGCCCCACCACTGCGCACCCTGGCCGGTGAAGATGAAGCCGATTCTGAGGGGTTCGGTTTCCTTGCCGGGAGTGTACTTCTCGCCGTTGAGGGTCTCCACGAGCTCAAAGGAGTTGCTGGCTGAGATGGCGGCGCGGTACTGCAGATGCGAGCGGCGCTGGCCGAATGTGTAGGCAAAGTTGGCCATCAGATCGGCTTGGAAAATCTCGGGACGCTGCTCGAGGTAAATGACGGCATTCTTCATCACCGCCGAGAGAGTTGCCTTGTCGTTGGCGGTGAAGACAAACAGCTTGCGCAAATTGGTGGCCGCGACGGACAGGTCCTGTTCAAAGCTCGGCTTGGCCTTGAAGGGCGCCGCTGCGAGGACAACGTGACCGTTGGTGCCGCCGAAGCCAAAGTTATTGACACTAATGTACTTCTTGCCGCGTGGCCAGGGACGCTGGTTGATGGGCACCTTCATGTTCCACTCCTTCCAGGGGATCTTGGGATTCGGCACCTTGAAGTCATGGTTGGGAAGAATGAAGCCCCGCTCCAACATGAGGGCGGCCTTGATGATGCCGGCAATACCAGAGGCGGCTTCGAGATGGCCAATGTTGGACTTGACCGAACCGATGTAGAGCGGATCGCGTGTGGTGCGGTCCAGACCAAGCACATTGTGCAAGGCTGTTGCTTCAATAGGGTCGCCGACCTTGGTGCCGGTGCCGTGGGCCTCGACAAAGCCACATTCCTTGGGATCGAGGCCAGCGTTGCGGTAAACCTGCCGCATGAGGGCCTCCTGGGCCTCTCCACTGGGCATGGTGATACCCGGTGTTTTGCCGTCCTGGTTGAGGCCAGTGCCCACAATCACTGCCCGGACGGGGTCGTTGTCGCGCAGAGCCTGGTCCAGAGGCTTGAGAACGATCAGACCACAACCTTCGCCGCGACCGAAACCGGTACCGCGCTCATCGAAAGCGATAGAGCGTCCCGTGTCAGATAGGAGCCGGCACGTGGAAAAGGAGATCCAGAACTCAGGCAGCATGTTCAAGTGGCAGCCACCCACAATGGCCATGCTCGACTCGCCAAGGCGGAGGCTCTGGCACGCCAGGTGCGTGGCCACCATACTCGACGAGCATGCCGTGTCAGACGTAAAGCTGGGGCCTCTCAGATCAAAAAAGTGAGACAGCCGGTTCGACTGCATGGCATATGCACAACCTAATCATTGTTAGCACGGCCATTCTGCTACAGAAGAAATTATCACTGGCCATATTGCTTCAAATGGATTTACCTGTAGCCTGGTGCATGGGGATCGTATCGCTGTCGCGGAACAGATGGGACTCGTATTCAGGGAACGAGCCGCCGACGAAAACACCGACGTCCTTGCCAACAATATTTTGCTTGGGAATGCCGGCACTTTCAAGTGCTTCGAACGTGCACTCCAGCAGGAGGCGCTGCTGCGGGTCCATGGAGATGGCCTCCTTTTCCGTGAGGCCGAAGAAGGGCGCGTCAAACGACTCCAGGTCGCAGGTCAGAAAGTTGCCACCAACGGCGCTAAAGCTGCCTCCCTTTCCGGCGTTGGGGTGGTAGAACGTGTCGGCATTGAACCGCTTTTCAGGAACCTTGGAGAATCCAGAGCGAGACCGTGAGAGGAGCTCCCAGAACTCGGCCGGGGTGGCCACATCGCCGGGCATGCGGCAGGCGATGCCAATGATGGCAATGGGTGTCTGAGTGTTCTCAATCTTCGGAGCGCCATTGTTCATGCTGTCGGTGTTGAGGCCAAGGCCACTGCCGTTGACAAAGCCGCTTGTGGTGCCCCCCGGGCGGCCGTTGACGTAGCGGCCATCACGAGGAAAGTAGCCGGTATCACTGTCGCCGGAAGGACTCGCGGTCGAAGGATCGGGCGTGATGGCAATGGGCGCCATGGCCGGTGATATCAGCCGCAAACGGCAACAAGTTTGGCGTATTATGGAAAGAAAGCTGAGGTGGAAATGAAACGAAACGAAAGTAAATAAAAGGACAGGACACAAACCCGGGCAGTGTCAAGGCAGATGCCAAGTATATAAGATTTGCTTCGGGCGAACAGATTGACAAGCAACCTCGAATAGTGTCCTAGGTCCGGATGCAGCAATAAAGGAGAGACTGAAGATGGGGAAACTCAAGACGAGGGGGGACAGGTCGAGATGTTTTAAATGAACAACTGAGCTGATGTTGAGTGCCGTTCATCCAGCCCGAAGGTCTATTTTTGGACTGTGATTCCGTGCTTTCTCCAGAACCAAAATGAAATATCGGCCCCGGTGTGCGGCTTAAGTTGCCTGCTGATATGGTCCGTCGTGAAGCGTGTGGCGATCAGAGTACGTACAAGCCGAGGTAGACAGAGTGAGTGGGTGAAGGTCGGACAGGGGGCGTAAGGAGCAAGACAATTGAGGTTCAGCGGATCTCATGCCGTACCTCAAAGCACTTACAGCAAATTGTCTCTTCTAAGTGCCAGTTGCGGGATAGTTTGAATCTGTGAGTGATGTTTCCTTTGCCTCGGGCCGGGTATCTCTCAGGTGGTGAAGTGGCCAGGAAACACGCGTCTAGGTCTCAGACAATGGGCTGAGGAGAAAATTGCAGTCGAGTGTGCAGGTTCAACTTCCATATCATACCCTGTTTGTCTGTTCATGCGCCTGCTGGCATAGATTGTGTGTTTGGCCTAGATCGCCTTCCTACCTTGTAGCCGTGTATTGTCTCTTGTAGTAGCTCAATGTTTTGCCGCCTGGTTCACATCGAGCACATCACCTTTGATGGCATATATGAGAACCAATATATCGGCCCTCGCATCCTATGCAGATGTAAATTTGGAGTGCATATTGGTGCTTCCATAGATAGACATGGTAAGTTCCACCACTTCATATCATTCATAAAGTGTGTCCTTCTTTACCAAACGATGGAGAAGAACACAAGCTAGCAGCAAAACTTAGGTGAAGGATATCAAATTTCGCAACTCGGAATAGGTAAAAGCTCATCTTGAGACACGTCATGGGTTGAAGCTGATAAGACAGTGACGGTACAAAATGTTGGGTAGCGGGTGGCCTAGAACGCCTCGATATCGCATCAGCTCAATGCCCAATGGTGATAACGGGTGAATGGAAATATTGATCTTGTAGATGAAGTGATGGGATGAAGCGCAATGACTGGCTATCACGTTACGGCCGGTCGGATAGCGGTGGGACGGAAGAGAGATGTCGTGGCACAATGCTCACAGGAGGATACCAGTCTAAGAGGGGCCGGTATCGTTAGTACGCACATTGGGGCAAAAAAGAACAGATGCTGAAACTCAATTGTGGACGGGAAAGGAAAGTGATCCGCTCCCAGGCAGCATTGGATTTGTGAACGGAAGATGTCCGTTTCCTGTATGTGCAAGGTTCTAGACAAGGCGGGTCGAAAGCATGTGGATTCTGTAGGATAGGCAAAATAACTCGGGGGGCTCAAATGCGAAGGAGTAAAAGGGCGTAAGCTTGGGTTAAGGTTCGGAAAATCCGAGCCTGTTTAATCTAATCGCCGTGATGATGTACACATGGGAGTTGGAAAAAGGAGAAAGGGAGCGGGGAAGAGCCAAACTGGGACACGATGTCGACACTGGGAACGTTCATGGGCTAATGTCGCGGGGTTATCGGAAAGAGCACGCAAAACCGTGTCGCACTTTCCTAAGCGAGGAGACAAGGCCCAAACGATAAATCTGGAAGGAATTACAGACAAGTACAGCATTCAAAACGGAAAGAACAACCGTGCGAGGTCGAGTCCTCAATTGATGAGCCACGAGGAAGGTCCGACACAGGACAGCCAATGAATAAGCGGCTTAAGAAACACCTTAGCAAGAATGCGGACAGTTGCCAAAATGGCTTGCGGCTGTAAACAATGAAAAAGGGGCTAAAATACACACCCACTCATAATATGGCTTCGCAGCCTTGCGGTGGCCTTTGTCTACCCCGACACCTTCACCGTCACCAAGTATGACTGCTCGTCGTAGCTTTCGTCTCTTCTTTTAAAAACAACTACCCTCGTCGGCTGCCCGTCCGTACTTTGCACCGGAAAAATAAAAAAAAGTGGCAATTGTTCATATCTACGAAACAAAAAGAAAAGGGTCACAAACCCACAATCGACTGTTTGCCGTTTGCCACTGGGCGGCACTTGATCTCGGGACTTGTTATCGATTGAGACAAGGAAAAGAAACTCGATGCCGAACGGCGACAGATACATCGATACAACCGCGGATCGTACCTCCACTCACATCCGATCACTCACTCTGCCGTCGGATTTTGGCTAAGTGGGTATTATGAGGCTCACGGCGCGGGGCCGACCAATCTCAACATATCGACTGGCTCTGCTCCGTTCACAATTGCGTCCATTAGGAGAATTTTGGTCTTGTATTTCTGTGCAGTGGGCCGCCAGAGGGCATAAAAATATGCATGGCGGACCAGCGGGTGGTCCTGAGACGGTTGTGAAGAGTGCGGGTGCAGGGATGAAGAGAGCAATATTCCGCTCGGCGAATTGTGGGTTTTGTACCTCTGCTGTGCTCTTGAAGCTTCACCTTGTATCTTACGCTGTGCTGCGTGGGTTCGTTACTGAATAAATCCACAACATCGCTTACACGCCTGCCACTCCCTTTCACACACCCAATATATCGCGTCGGCAGTAGACAACGCCACTTGCTGTCCCTGCACCGTTGCCACGTGCGTCGGTGTTATCCTCAGTTTCTGAGCCCCTCATCATGTCCCCTTTTTCAAACTGCCTGTCCCTTTCGGGCTAATAAGCTTATCTCTGATCCCCCACGCGGAATGGGTCTCTGAACGGTTTCATGCAAGCAAAGACACCTTTCTCTTGGCGTATGGGATCAGTACCATGTAGTGGTCATGATATTTATTACCCTTCTTCTTCTTCCTTGTAGTCTGTTAATTGCACAACGGATGGGCACGAGACGATCCGCGTTCAGGCGTGACTGATCCAAAAATATCTCTCTCCAAATTCATCTAGTATATTTCGTCTTTCTTTTCCTTATTTTGTTATATTTCCACATCTATTTTCTCCTCACTGTCTGTATGACTTTCAGCTTCGCCGGCCCGACCGGTTGTTTAACGGACGAAAGGCAACTTTTATTTATCACGGAGCCTCATCAGAAAACGGGCGACATAATGGGACTGTGATAATGTAGCATTCTATTGTCCTCACATTCCCACGAGGTTAGAAACACATGTCTCTTAGACCGTTTTCATCTTGAATCTGCGGCAATTTTGCATCAAAATATACCGGAGAACAAATTCGTAAAAAATAAAGTAAAATATAACAAGCAAGGGCAAAATTACTCGTCGTGGATTACACGTGAACATTGCATCCTCAAATATGATTCTTGCGACTGGACTCTGTTAATATTGCTTTTATCCCCTCTTATCCACTTCTCTCTATCGTAGGAGTCTCGCCCCAAGTTTGCAACATCTTATGGGGCTATTATTTGCAGATTCAAAAAGACGAGAATTACGGTTAGCTCTTCTTGTTCTCACGTATCCACCTCGTACAACAGACTTCTGTAAAATTACGGATAACCATTTTGCGGAGTCTGGTCCACATTGTAGCCGTTCCCCAGAGAAAAGGCTCGGCTGCTTACAACCTTATGCCATTTATATACGGCTAGCGGCATCGCCATTCTTCGTGGCCCGGATCAGTATGCTGACAACTTACGAGATGCTTATTCAGTAAGGACATGTTTCCAGTTCTTTGGCCCAAGTATCGACCAACTTCCTGACTTTGCAAGTGTTCGTCTCATGACGAAGGTTAGCTAGCTACTCGTTTTAATCAATACTCAATTCCAGCTCTCTTTTTTTAGGTCTGGTTTCCCGTACTTTGATACCGCTCCTTTATTTCTGGAGATTTCAATGTGGGCCTTCGCCATACACTCTTGAGGCTATACTTTTAAGCGTGCCAGATTTTGGTAACCCATCGATGTGCTTCTATGATTAACTTTAAGCTTCAAAGTCTCCTGGCTCGCCACCTTTCAATGAAACGCAACACCAATGTTTTGCACCTTGGTAGCTCACACTTTATTGAATTTTTAATAGATATTTTACTTGCCCTGCACGTTTTCAACCGATTTTAGCAGTTTTCTCACGATATTTACAAACTTACTTGGGGTTCACGACTTTTAGACTTCTAGAATATTACCTACATTCAGCATTTCTTGGCTGGTTCTTTAGAACTCTCATTTCGTCCTGTCATATTCACTTCTCATTCCTTCTTTTATCACTTTTGCAAAAATGAAGTTTTTGTGTTTACCAGGCGCCTACGGAAGTGCAGATGTAAGAAGTCCAATTTCCTGTTTAGTATTTTGAACTGATGCACTGACTGAACCACCAGAAATTCCAAGTCCAACTAGGTAAGAAAAGTTCCCAATCAATCAAACAGCAGCAACAAGGTCTCGCATGTCCTAACACTACCAGCCCCTATTGTCAAGGAGCTCACCGAGGATGGTACGGCCATCTTTCACTTCATCGAAGGTCCCTGTGTGGCCGAGCCACCAAAAGGCTTCGAGGACTACTTTGGCAACCCGCCGTACTTTCGGTTTATCGAACCCGATGAGGTCGGCAAAACCGACGACGACGATGTTCTGTCGCGTATTCGCGACTTCCCGGACTGCGAGACGCCGGAAGACACGATGCGCGAGCTGATGAAGGAAGGCGTGGCCACGACACACAAGAGCACGGACAACGCGCTCAAGTTCCTGCTCAAGATTATGAAGGAGCGCGGTCCCTTTGAAGGCATCATTGGCTACTCGGAGGGCGCGACCGTGGCCGCGACCCTCTTGTTGCACGAGCAGCGGCGCTTCCAAAAAGAGGGCATTGCGCCCATGTTCAAGTACGCCATCTTCTTTGCCGGATGGCCGCCTGTGGAC